ATTTCCACATCCTTAAAGCTGGTAATTTGTAAGATCATCAAATTGTGCAGTTTGAGAGTCCAAGAGACTCAGCAAAAATGATACCAAAATTGAGAAGCCACAGAGCCGAGGGTTCATAATGACTGTATAATGCAGGGGATGACAGATGGCCACAAACTTCTCATAGGCCATCACAGTCAGAAGCATATAACCCATACAAATAAAAATAGCAAAAAAGCACATCTGTGTCTGCCGCAGTCTGGCTGGGCACAAAATCACGAGCCACTCAAGCAGGAACAAACTTTATTTTTTGAAACTGCAGCCAATGTCCGGTAGGGGCCCGGGAAGATTTTCCATCCACCCACGCGGCCTCCTCTCGGACCTGCAGGGAGTGCTTCTCCCCTGGAACTCCCTCCTACTGTACTTCCCCAACCAATGGGAACTCCCAGGAGTCCCGTAGCCGGCCTAGGTGAACAGCAGGAATCCAATATCCATATGAATGCAAATCTTAACATAATCATATCATCTCAATGGCTAGCTGGTGTCACCTTTCGACCAAAAATGCCATGCATCATATACTTGGCTCTTAGCATGTGTCAGACAGCCCATGTAGGAGACGACATCATTTTGAGTTTGAATGTTTACAATCATGTTTGGGACTGTGGTGGAGATGAAGCCGATGTCAGCCAAGGACAGGTTGGAGAGGAAGAAGTACATGGGGGTGTGGAGGTGGGGGTCAGAGCTGACAGCCAGGATGATGAGCAGGTTCCCAAGCATTGTGACCAGGTACATGGACAGGAACAGTCCAAAGAGAAGGGGCTGCAGGCCTGGGTCCTCTGAGAGGCTCATGAGATGGAATTCAGAGACACGGGTTAGATTTTGTTCTTGTAGGTAGGTTGGACACCTTTTGAAAAAAAGCAAAAAAGGTGTTAAAAAAGAAATACGTAAAACAGGCTCTCCTCATTCTGGAAATATTTGAATTAAAGTATGCACAAGGAAGGATCTCATGCTTTAGGTCCACACACCTTCAACAATAGCTGTCAGTAGTGAAGCACCCAGTCTCTACATTTTTTTTCATTATCACCTTCTCCATCATTCACCCCTCTTCCTATACTCACCTAAGAAACATTGAGCTGAGCAGTGTTAAAAGTCCAGGAGCAGAGAAGAAGTCCATGATCAACCCATATAATTTAAGCCAAATATCTGTTATATAAATGGCCCTATTTTTTTTTTCTTTTTCTTGATTCTGTACTCTATCTGGTCTGCGAAAAATGCTTCATAGTTTTTTGATCTCAAACCATCAAGTACATTGTTTATGATCTAGCACCAAGGAAAGCCCCAAAACTCAAGTTTTATTTCCAATCTCAGTCCTTCTTCATGGGTTCTCTGGTCAGCCATTCCTGACACATTGATTTCAATTCTCCTATTTAGGCTATGTGAAGTATACTTGGGTTCATTATTTATCATTTCTCTATGTGAAATAATTGGGTACAGTACAAAACAGAGTATAACAAGTAACAATGTAATAACTTCTTGGAAACATCCTCATTTATAAATTGGAGGTAGTAATTACCTACCTTCTATGATTGTCATGAGGAAATTAAAAAAAAAACTTTCAAGTGGCATAACTCGTAGTTCTCTCCCATTATTAAATCTACCTGTGTATATTTTAGAATATCCATACACAGTGATGTCAGACTAATACCAATTATATCAGCATATCCACATGTGAAGTTCTCAGTGGTTCTTTCTTACATCAGATCTGAAATCCTATGTCTAACAATATCCTGCCATACAGAACACTCTTCATGAATATTACCTACTCTTATTGTCCATAATACCATCACCTATATTGAAACATATGAATCTGATAATAATCATGCCAGGACTAAAATTGTATAGACATCTGAAACATTACCTAAGAAATTTGAGTCATAATATCTCTACCTGATTCCATTTTCCTGCAAACCTGTTCCCCAAACATACTTATTGTTATGAAATGCAGAGGTGTAATTATCTGCTTGTGTTTTCATGTCAGAATCATCTATCAAACACTTTTCTTTCACACAATTACCTAAACATAGGTAAAAAATCATCTAAGTAATATTCAAACCAATGCCCATTGGCCATGAAATGTAAACAAGTTTACATTAACCTGAGCTTTTAATTTCTCAATGAAGTACATTTCTCTTCTGCAAAGTCTTTATCTGATGCAAAGTGATGGAAAGGACAACATTGTTTAATGCAGTAGTATATTAGTATGACAATCATTTCAAAGCAGTCTCCCTATCACTTAAATAACAGTGTCTGGATTATATGTTGTCAGGACATGATTGGTTGATTTCCAGTGCAAAATCTGTGTCCAAATTTACTCTTAATGACCTACACTTAGGTACCTACAAGAACAGTTACTATCATCTACATCTTCTCAATCCTAATATGTATCTTGGAAATGCAATTACACCGTAACTAGGAATATTCTTCCTTAATGACTCCTGAAGAAGTTTGGTCTTGTGCAGGGAATACTATTTACTGTGGCTCTAACAGAAGAGCCAAGGCCTGGGCTGGAGTCAGGCAGGCAACATTTCAGACCTGCATTACCTGCCAGTTTGTGCACAGTGTGCGAATCTCTCCTCCTCTCCTTGCTCACTGCTTAAGGGAAACACAGATTATAACACCATCTCCACAACATGTGCAACATTGGGAACTAAATGAATATTTGGAAATTGTTATTTTAGTAAAAAAAAATCCATAATTATGTTAAGTATTAACATTATGGAGTAAAGCCATGGTCAAGGGCACTGGAGACTGGAATGAAGTGAAACCCTGCCGTAGGTCTCAGTGGAAGGTTGCAGTGTTAGGTGCCCCTTCAGCTTCTGCCTTGTTGCTTTTATTCAAATCCATGAAAATCTCTGCCATGATTTCTGAATACTTGCCTACTGTGGATGTAACTAAATAAAACTAAAGTGTCCCTATGACCAAAACATGCACACAAATGACACCGTTTGAAAAAGTCTATTCCCATGGACACTGCTGGAAGGAATGAAAGGACAGTCAGGAGGCCACAGTCTGTTCATCCAAATTCGTTTTGGTCAATATATGGAAAAGGGTGGGGTGGTTCAATTCTCAACAGACTTGCTCAAGATGTCACCCTGTGCCAAGCAGAAAACAGGATCCGGGGTGTAAGAAACAGAAGAAAGGAAGCCGTTCCTCCCAAATGCGCAGCACATGCATCTGTAAGGGCAAACATAAAGTGTCCCATCCAGAAACAGGAAAACGGTCACTTCAGGTCACTGGATATATTAGTTGAGTGGAATGAAGATTAACCTATTAGGACTAACAGTACCAATAATATCCAGATTTATTATGCCCTCATTTTATTCCCATATCCCATATTATTCACATAAAATAACCAAGTATCTATTTATCCTTACTAACTGTAGTTGCATCGATGGGAAATGAATTCAGGTGACTGGGCTGAGTCTAGACACCATTGAAACCAGGGACTGCTTTATAGACACAGTGACTGGGCTGACAGACTCTGAAAAGAATTGATTTAATTATTTTATTCTTTCCCACCTGACAGTGTTCAGTATGGGCCCAGACATTTTCTCTGCTGGTAAATATGAAAATATGAAAAAATACATTTAAAAAATATTTCCAGTATTTGGGGGGAAATGAAATCAAATCTGACCTTAGTTTTGCTTTGGGATTGAGAGGGCTGTTTTCAAGCATGGAGGAGCATGGAGGGAGCTCCACAGAAGTTCTGGAGGGGCCCCAAGAATTTTATCTAAACTGAACGACCATCAGCCTCCCCTACTGTGACCTATCCTGTGATGCGTGGATGTCCTTCCATTGTGCATGCACCAGGAACCCCACTGCTCTGCCCTGTGATCCCCAGGAATCTGAAGAGGAAGAGCACCATGGGCAAGGCTCTCTTTCTGCAGTGTCAGGGAAGAGGAGTGGCTGGTTGACCTGCTGATGGGACAGCCTGCCAGGATTCTCCTGTGATGCCCTGTGTCCATGGCCAGACAGCCCAGTGCAAACATGGCTGCACTTTTCCCCACCTAACAAAGGAGTACAAGTTACAAAAGTATAACACAGTGCTTCATTTTCTATAAAATAATAATAATGTGGACACATATAACTAAAGTAGGATGGTGTTTATGAAAAGGAAAAAAAAAAGGTAGTTGGTTAGCACCTGATCCTGGGAAGCCCTGCACTTTCTGTCATACTCATCATCATCTTATCACCACCATCACAGTCCTTTCTTAGAAGTTAAGAAACACTTCTGAAGGATTCATTTTGTGCTGTTGTGGGTGATATTTCTGTGAGAATCAGAATCAGTGTGGGTGGAGACCACAGTTTGGATAAGATTTCTCATACCCCCCCGAAACAAAAGCTTGAATCCCACAACCCCAAGTTGAACATGTATTAGGTGTCCTCCCATGTGGCTACTCTGTGGTGTTTGTCCCTGTGCTGAGGTAACACTACTTCCCCACTCCTTCCCACTTCCATGGCCCACTCTGTACTTACTGGGTCACGCTGCTTCCCTGCAGTGTCATGACCAAGAAGTGCTGATACTAAGGCCCTACCAAGTGTGGAGCCCAGGGAAAGAGCAACTGTGTCCACAGGAAGAGATCCTGTCATCAGGAGCTTCCTGATGCAGAAAATCCCAGGAGGAGACACAGCCATGCAGCTCACTGGACAAGAACCATCCACTAAAGGGCAGCAGGCACAGGCTAATTGTGCACTAATGTAGGACCTTGGAAGATCAATACACAGAGCTTGTAATTAGACTAATTGGTCCATGAAATCCCCATCTCTAAGGATTCCCCATCATTAATGAGGAACACAAATGAAATTGAATGTCCACATAAGTTTCTGGCCCTAACTCTAATTAGGAAAAAGTTTACATATTTTATTTATTTTCTTTCATTTCTGTGTACCTTAAAGAGACATCTGTGATCAATGTTCATTTTATTGGGATAAAATATCAATGCAAACAATTACCACTCTGATGCCCTTAATGTATGCCATGTATGTAGTACTCCATGCACTTGTACCCACAGGGATATAAACATGAAAAGAAGAGCTCAAATTATCTATTCACTGATGACATGTTTCCTATAATTAGAAGACCCAAAAACTCAAAAAGAAAGTTTCTAGAGCTCGTCAATGAATTCAGCATGGTAACATGATACAAGAACAACTCTCATTAATCAATCACATTTCTATATTTCAATGACTAATCTTCTGAGAAAGAAATTGAAAAACTATCCCATTCACAATAGCCTCAAAACAATAAATTACTTGCAAATCAGTCAATTCAAAAAAATTGAAGGATCTTTGCAATGAAAACTATAGAACACTGTATTAATTTATTTTCTTTTACTAGGGATTGAACACAGGGGCCCTTACCCACTGAGCAACATCCCAGCTCATTTGGTATTTTATTTAGAGACAGGATCTTACTGAGTTTTTTAAGGCCTCGCTAAATTGCTGAGACTGTCGTTGAACTCTCCACCCTCCTGCCTCAGCCTCCTGAGCCTCTGGGATTACAGGCATGCACCTCAGTACCCAGCAACTTTTTAATTTCATTTTTAAAACTCATTGGCTTTGTCACTTTTAATATGTGGTATGTATATAAAAAGAAGTTACAAATTTCACCATTGTCAAGTACATAGTGTAGTGGCATTTATTGTTATTTGTTTTCTTGTGAAACTAACTACCATCCATCTCCAAAATTTGTCATCTTAATGCAGAGAAATCTTGATCCTTAACATAGGCTGAAACCATTATACTATAAAACATGGTGAGAAATTAAAACTATTTATGTTATGAAAAGGCACATTAACAGGGCCAAACTTTTAGCTTTGCTGAATTTTCCAAGATATTGCAACTGAACAGCAGAGTTGCTAAGATTGAAAAATTCGGCTGTGGAATCTCCTAAATGCAGTTTTAATATCCCTGTTCCCCAGGCTGTAGATGAAGGGGTTCAGCACGGGGGTAACCACAGTATGTATCACTGAGGCCACTGCACCCTTTCTGGGAGAATGTGATACAGCTGAACTCAAGTACACTCCAACAACTGTTCCATAAAATAAGCAAACAACTGCCAGGTGAGAGCCACAGGTGGAGAAAACTTTGTACTTCCCGCCTGAGGATGGAATCCTCAGAATGGAGGCAATTATCTTATAGTAAGAGAAAAAGATCCCTGAGATAGGGAAAAGGCCATATATGGCAGCAAGAAAATACTTTACAATGTTATCAGAGTAGTTGTCAGAACAGGAAAGATTCAGAAGTTGAGAAGGGTCACAGAAGAAACTGGAAATTTCAACACTCTTGAAGTTGGTAATTTGTAAGATCATCAGATTGTGCAGCTGAGAGTCCAAAAGACTCAGCAAAAATGACACCAAAGTTAAGAAGCCACAGAGACGAGGGTTCATAATGACTGTATAATGCAGGGGGTGATAGATGGCCACAAACCGGTCATAGGCCATCACAGTTAGAAGCATGTCATCCATACAGACAAAAATGCCAGAAAGAGATATCTGTGTCAGGCAGCCCTTGTAGGAAATGACTCTATTGTGAGTTTGGATGTTCAAGAGCATCTTTGGGACTGTGGTCAAGATGAAACCGATGTCCACAAAAGACAGGTTGGAGAGGAAGAAGTACATGGGGGTGTGGAGGTGGGAGTCAGAGCTGATGGCCAGGATGATGAGCAGGTTCCCAAGCACCATGACCAGGTACATGGACAGAACCATCCAAACAGGGTGGGCTGCAGGTCTGGGTCCTCTGAAAGGCTCATGAGTTGGAATTCTGAGACACGTGTTAGATTTTGTGCTACTATATTGCTTGAACACCATTTTAAACAATCAAAAAATGTGAGAATAAAGAAACATGTACCAAGCACCCCTCCATCTGTACATATTTGAATGGAAGGATTCACAAGATTATTCACACTTGAACACTGTGCATCAATAATGATTCTCAGGAGTGTAAAACACAGTCTTTGTACACTCTTCCTTCACTTTCTGCATTATACCCCTCTTCCATATCCACTTGAGAGACATTGATCTGAACAATGTTAGAAATCTAGGAGCAGTGGAAAAACAAGTTCATGATCACAACAAAATATTGCATACTCTTTTATGAAAAAAATCAAGAATAAGTAATGGCCTTCGTTATTAAGAAAACACTATTAATGAAACTATTTATTAATAAAAGGAAATTCAGAAGCAGTTTGATATGCCTTGTTTGGTTCTATCACCTTCAGACAAATTCATTTGATTTAAGATATTTAAAATACTGTGTACCAGGTACTTTAATTTCTCTGACAACTACATCAAGGGTGAGAAATCATAATTAGAAAATATAATGGGCAATTATCTTCAAGAAATCTCATTATTCTTTTGAATTTTTATTCCCCTCCCCTTAAGTTTGTTCTTGAAAATTTATATAAATTAATAAATATCCTTCTCTTTGATGAAATTTAAATTTTGGTAAATATTGTTAAGTGCACACAATCAGTGGTATCACCACAAATGCAGCATTTATATACACTGTACCTGTCAATAGTTCTAAAACCTTAAGCCCTAAGAAAAACCTTTGAATAGATTATATTTTGATACTTACATTCAAATTTAAGCATATTTTATTTCTCTTTGGTATAAATTTGAAATTTCTATAAATTTTGATATTTTTATCAACCCATAAAATATTAGTAAAATACCTACTATACAAAACAATTCTTCATTCTTTTTTTAAATCTTCATTCTATTCTCCAGTTGTAAGGAAATTCTTACTTCAGCTTTGTGAAGGAAAGAGATGGTTCCTATATGTCAGGTTTCACTATTGAATTGGACAATAGAAAACAGAAAAGAACAACCAGTAACATAATTATTTCTGGAAACTTCCTCATCTGTTAAACAATAATAATAATTACTGACTTGGTGGAGTTGCTGTAAGACTTTTTTTAAAATTTGAGATTGAGAGATGGGTGTGATGGTTCCTGCCTGTATTCTTAGTGATTAAGGAGGATCAGTCAGGAGGATCACAAGTTCAAACCCAGCCTCAGCAACTTAGGCCCTAAGCAATTCAGTGAGACCCTGTCTCTAATAAAACATATAAAAGGGCTGGGGATGTGGCTTAGTAGTTAAGCACCCTTGGGTTCAATAACCAGTATGCCCCCCCCAAAAAACTTTTGAGATTGAGATTTTGAGGATCCCTCTCTGGCTCCCTCTCCTATGCTCAGAAGGCCCACTTGCTCTGTTGTGCAGGTACTAGAAGATCTAGAGAAAGAACAATGCGCAGCCTGTAGCCAGAAAATGAACATAAGTGAAATTTTATACCTGGATTAGAGGAAGAATGGAGAATATTATCCAGTTCTTGTTTTTCCTAAAGCTGATTATTATGAAGTTTGTTCTGAAGTAATTGTAGTAAATGGGGTTTAATTCTTCTATCAAATTGGAAACAGCAAGGACTCACATTGAGTGAAAGTATCAATACCTGGATATTTTCCCAATCCAGGGATCTTCAGAAAAAGAAGTTTACTAAATAATACCTTCCATAAAAGTAGAAGCAATAATCAGCCCAGCAGATGGGTAGACATACAAGCAGTATGAAAAAGCAACCAAAGAAAACAACCCAAACAACCCAAAACATGTCAAGACCTGTTCCCACTGACAACACAATAGAGGAAATGTTAGAGAATAAAAATTTAGAAAGTTCACTTTTAAAATGTTCAATAAGATAAAGGAAGATGTAGGAATTCATGTAGACAATACAAAAACTGAATGATCATTCCAATAAAGAAATAGAGATTCTGAAACAGAATGAAATAGAAATTGTGGAAATGACTCAATAAATCAAACAAAGAGTTCAATAGAAAGCATCACCAATAGAGTAGACCACTTTAAAGACATCCTTGGGCTTTGAATACATTATAACATCTTGAAAATAAACTCAACGATAAAGAAAATGTGTTAAGATATTATGACCATAATATTCAAGAAATCTGGGATGACATTATGACAAAAATATCTAAGTGGATGAAGGCTCCAAAATACAAAATAAAGAAATATACTGTCTTATCAATGAAATAATATTAGAAACTTTTCCAGCCTTAGGAATGAGACACAAATCCAAATAGAAGATGCAAATGGAACCCCACACAGTAAAGACCAAAGAAGATCATAAAAAACGCATTATGATGAAAATGCCTAATATATATACAAGAAGGATAGAATTTTAAAGGCCTCAAGTAAAAAATGGCCCATCACCTTTAGAGATAAGCCAATTCAGAAATCAAATGATTTCTCAGCCAAGACCCTAAAAGCCAAGAGGCCTTGAAAAAGTATTTATAACATCTGAAAGAAAATGGGCAACAACCAAGATTACTATATCCAGCAAAACTGGATAAAAATCTGGAGTTGAAGCTGAAGGGTAAAACTTCCATGATAAGGAGAAACTAAAAGAATTTATAGCCACTAAGCCAGCACTATAAAGCATACTCACTAAAATATATTTCATGCCAAATAAAAGAAAAATAAAATGAAGACAAGTATATGGATGAATCACACTAAAAAATAGTCAACTTAAGGAGAATCAAGTCTGAGTTAAGAATTAGATATAAGCCAAAATGGCAAGAAATAAAAATCATCTCTCATATAATGTTGATATAAATGCTCTAAACTGTCCAATCAAAGGACAGAGATTGGTAGATTGTATTAAATATAAGACCATAAGAAACTTGACTTATAAACTTGCTTTACAGGAAAAGAGATCCAAAGAACCAAGGTGCAAGGATGAAAACAGATCTATCATGTAAATGGAAACAGAGGGCAAGCAGGAGTCACTCTCCTATCAAAGTAGACTTCAAACAAATTAACTGGAAGAGAATAAAAATGTCTCTTCACAGTGACAAAGGGACTCATCCAACAACAACACATAATGAACATAAATCCTCATGCTGGGTACACACATGCATAAAACAAACCTTCTCAAAATGAAGAATTAAACAGGTCCCAGTGCTATAATGGGTGATTTCAACACCCCTCTCTCACTGTCAGATAGGTCATCCAGACATAAGTAAAGACTGATCAGAGCTGAATATTATTACTAATCAAATGGACTTCAGAGACAGCTACAGAATATTTCATCCATCAAAAGCTGAATTCATATTCTTCTCAGTGGCACATGAAACATTTCTAAAACATTGGATTTTAGGGAACAAAGCAAATCTTAGTAATTATAAAAAGAGGATACACTTTCTTGAATTTTATCATATCATAATGGAATTGAGTTAGAAATCAATGATAATATAAAATGAAAAATCCATTTTAACACCAGGAGATTAAATAACACAGTTTTTAACTTCAAATGGACCATAAAAGAAATTAGAGGAGAAATAAAATAATTCTTAGAAAGAAATGAGAATAGAGATACAATATATGAAAATCTCTGGGACAGGATGAAGATAATTCTAAAAGGAAAGTTGATAGCATTGAGTTCCTTCATTAAAAAAATAGAAAAGTATCAAACAAATAATCTAGCATTATGACTCCAAGACCCTAGAAAAAGAACAAACTAATTCCAAAATCAGTAAAAGATAGGAAATAAATAAAATCAGAATTGAAATTAATAAAAATGAGAATTAAAAAATATAAAGGATCAGTGCAACTGAGTTGTTTCTTTGAAAAGATAAAGAAAATTAGTAAACTTTTAACCAACTAACTGAAATAAAGAGAGAGAAGGCTCAAATCAACAAAATTAGAGTGAAAAAAATAAAATATCATCAAAGACACTTTTGAAATCTAGAGGACCATTAGAAACAATTTGGAAATTTATACTCCAGTACCATGGAAAATCATGAGACACTGACAAAATTTCTAGACACATATGACCAAAACAAAAATAGGAGGATACATGAAACTTAAATAAACCAATATCAAGCTGATAATTTTAACCAACAATTAAAAGACTTCCAACAAAGAAAAGACCAAGAACAGAGGTATATTAATCCAAATTCTACCAGACCTTTAAAGAAGAAATAATGCCATTCGTCCTCAAATTATTCATGATATAGAAAAAGAAGGAACACTTTTAAATTATTCTATAAAGCCAGTATCACCCTTATACCAAAACCAGACAGACATATCATGGAAAGAAAACGTAAGATCAATAAACCTGAGGAACATAGATGCAAAAATTCTTAACAAAATCTTGATTCAAAAAAACGGTAAGAAGTTAGTATAGCATGATTAAGTGGTTTTCATTCCAGGGATCCAATATTTCTTCAACAAATGCAAATCAATAAATGTAATACACCACATACATGGAGTTAAGGACAAGAATATGTCATTATCTCAATATGGTGAAGAAAAGCATTTGACAAAGTCCAGTACTTTTTATGTGAAAAACACTGGAGAAACTCTCATACATGGAAGTTAGATCAAAATAAGGAGGGAAAGGGTTGGAATCTCATGAAAACAGAAATCAATACAGTATAGAAGGGAATTGAGGGTCAGGGAAGGGAGGAGGGATGGGAAATGGGAGGAAAGGTGGAATGATATTGACCAAATTAGCATATGAACATATGTGAATTTCCCCTTTGTGTATATCTATAAAATACTAATATTAAATAGTGTAAGTTATTAGAAGAAAGATCATTAGAGGAAACGAAACAGGAAGAGGGAGAAAGAAAGGGGGAAAGTGAAGGGCTAGGAACTGAATCAGAGCAGATTATATTCCATGCTTGTGTAATTATGTCAAAATGAACCCAGTACAGTGTATAAATACAATTCACTAATAAAAACTAAATATAGGGGATAGTACAAAACAGAAATCACCTGTAGGATACCATAGTGGTTACTAGTGCAGATAGTGGTCACCAATGAATGCAAACCCATGGGTGAAACATAAGAGAATATTAGATTGCCTGGCTTAATGTAAATCCTTTTGAATATACTGTAATACATTTTTTTTCAAAACCTGTGATTATTCAGTAAGAAATTTACAACACTATATTGTAAGGTTTATAATCTGTGGATACAAAATGTACAACAGCTGTACAAAGATAGAAGAAAATAAAGTCTTATAATATTTTCTATTTTGTAGTCATTAAAGTCATACAATATTAACTCTGTATGTTAAGATGGATATTGACATTTTCAGAGAAACTAGCAAACACGAAAACCTCTGTCATTAGTATGTAAATACTAGTAAGAAATTAAAATAAGTAGAATAGGTATTTACATATGTCCACAAGCCCTGTAGTCCTATTGATCCAAAATAAGAAATAACCAAAATGTTTTTGAAAACACATTGTCCTGAATCCATATAATGCAATATTTCTCAGCAAAACAAAGGAAAATACACACCCTGCTTGAATCTCAAAAATTTTGTGTGTGGAGATGTTGAGAGCCACAGCCAAAGGGGCCCCAGCAAACTTCCAGCTGCTGGTTGATGATTGGCTCACAGCGGCCCCAGCAACATCTAGCTGATTGGCTCCTCGGCCCCAGCAACATCTAGCTGATTGGCTCCTCTGCGGTGATGCTCATTGGGCTGTTTCCCTGCCCTTTCAGACCACGGAGCTGCTCATTGGGGGACTTTTTTGGCTCCGCCCACGTGACCTTTTTACCACAAGTTAATCTTGGAGTCAATCCTAGAGGATTGATACCTAACCATATTTGGCAGATGGACGTCACACACTTGCCAGAATTTGGAAAATTAAAATATTTGCATGTTACAGTTGATACTTCTTCTGGATTTTTGATGGGTTCCCTTCATGCCGGAGAAAAAACTAAAGATGTTATAGCTCATTGCTTACAAAATTTTGCCACTGTGGGTGTTCCAAAACAGTTAAAAACAGATAATGCCCCTGGTTATACTTCTACCTCTTTTAAACAATTTTGCTCAACATTTGGCATTACTCATATAACAGGAATCCCATACAATCCACAGGGACAAGGCATAGTTGAAAGAGCTCATCAAACTATTAAAATGTACTTATTAAAGCAAAAAGAAGGAATTGGGAAGGGGTATATATTCCCCAAAGATAAACTTAAAATAACCCTTTTTACTCTAAACTTTTTAAATTTGGATTCATCAGGACTTAGTGCTGCGGAAAGGCATATGTGTCCAAAAAATGTACATAAGCCCAAGGTACTTTGGAAGGATATTCTAACAGGACAATGGAAAGGTCCTGACCCAGTAATTGTCTGGAGTCGGGGGTCTGTTTGTGTGTTTCCACAGGGAGAACAGCAGCCGATTTGGATTCCAGAGAGATTAACCAAGGTCCTGACCCAGTGATTGTCTGGAGTCGGGGGTCTGTTTATGTGTTTCCACAGGGAGAACAGCAGCTGATTTGGATTCCAGAAAGATTAACTAAAGCGATTTCTACAGACCAAAAAGAAGATGATTTGGCTCAAATCCATAACAACTGATATCCAAAACTCCAGTTTGGCTATTCTTACATCTGCAACAGAACCAGGATGCTTTTTTCAATATCTATTTTATTATTGCCCTTTGTCATATCATGAAGTTCTATTTTGTTTTTTGAGCTCATACAGACCTAGGTTAATGTTTTGCTGATCAGTTCTATTTTTTGACTATAGAGTTTTTAAACATTGCAATGGAGATTTCACCTGTAAAAAGTTATAAGGCCTTTACTATAATGTTATGTGTTGTATGTATTATATTATGTGTGCACACTTGTGTTTTGTGTTATATGTTTGAATGTATGTATGTCCATATATCATATAAGATGAGCGCTCATGATAAAATGGATCCAAATATTTTTTTTTCACGTGATTTATATGGTTTAATTTAAATTGGGTAAACAACTGTTGAGGATTGTTTTAATATGTAAACAAAAAAGAAGGTTAACAGATCTGTTTGTTTACTTTCACCTTTCCTTTTCATTATATTTAATAATTCTCTTAAAGATAATGTAAATTGTTAAGAAAATTGTTTTCTTTTAGTGCCTTCTGTAATGTTACATAATTTTTTCTTTAGCCATTATTGCCAGAATTCCTATCTTCATCCCAGTGCTGGTGAAGACAATGTAAATTGTTAAGAAAATTGTTTTCTTTTAGTGCCTTCTGTAATGTTACATAATTTTTTCTTTAGCCATTATTGCCAGAATTCCTATCTTCATCCCAGTGCCGGTGAAGACAATGTAAATTGTTAAGAAAATTGTTTTCTTTTAGTGCCTTCTGTAATGTTACATAATTTTTTCTTTAGCCATTATTGCCAGAATTCCTATCTTCATCCCAGTGCTGGTGAAGTCAAAGATAAAACCAATCTACAGCTTCTACAATAGCCATCACTGAACTGCTTGCAGAACTTGCCTGGACACATTGTGAGCTCACCTGTATGCATTGTGAACTATCTGTTGGTACAGCGAATTGTGGTAGTGCTGGAGTATTTTTGCTGATGGTGTCACCGGTGGTACAATTTTTCAAAGGAGCCCTCAATTGGCTTAATGTCATGGCATTTTGCATCCTCCTCTACTAGTGATGGTCTAAAATTTGGGGGCCAACAGAGGTGAGGCAAAGAACCTCACCCCCCCACAGGTGCAAAGGCCTATCCACAAGTATGGCTGTATGCTGGACCGGTAGTCAGTGACGGGTATGATCCAACTGCAGTGGTACCAACCTAAGACAGGAGGCTGACGCCTAGAGGTCAGTTCATCCGATGACGGGTAAGGACCATATGTTGAATTGGACTGCCTAACAGGCACGGTCCCTAAGCCACATGCTTGTTGTTTAAACAGAGAGGGGGAGATGTTGAGAGCCACAGCCAAAGGGGCCCCAGCAAACTTCCAGCTGCTGGTTGATGATTGGCTCACAGCGGCCCCAGCAACATCTAGCTGATTGGCTCCTCGGCCCCAGCAACATCTAGCTGATTGGCTCCTCTGCGGTGATGCTCATTGGGCTGTTTCCCTGCCCTTTCAGACCACGGAGCTGCTCATTGGGGGACTTTTTTGGCTCCGCCCACGTGACCCAGCCAATTGGCCTCAAGAGCAGGAGGATTGTGGGAGGTGGAGAGAAGCTTGTGTGGGAGAGAGAGGCTTGTGGAAAGCCGGTGGTGGCAGTTGAGGCTCTGAGGGTTTTTCCTGAGAGGCTGTTTTGTTTGGCGTGTGTGGTTCTAAAAATAAAGTTAGTTTCTTTTGACAAGTGGCTCCTGATTGTGCCCAGCCAGACTGGGCATGGATCTAATACCATGTATATTGTATGATTTCAGGCAAAATGAACCTAGGGTTAAAAATTCTCAAAAGTAACTTCATCTGGGGGAGGAAAAAGTTGCCTGGGAAAGGACACAGATAATTTTCTTGTGATATTGCCAATGTTCTAAGCTTAAAAGCAGTAAGGTTGGGGCTGGGGATGTGGCTCAAGCGGTAGCATGCTCGCCTGGCATGCGTGTGGCCCAGGTTCGATCCTCACCACCACATACAAACAAAGATGTTGTGTCCGCAGGTCCCTGCCGGGCGCCAGGTAGCCTCCTTTGCCGGGCCAGGGCTGGCAGCCGGCGAGGGTCGTGGCAGCGGCGGTGGGGGCGCTGGCGGGCCGCGGGTCGGGCTCCGGCCCCGGCTCCGGGTGTTAGGAGACAAGATGGCGGCGGCGCTCTGGAGGCTGGTCTTCTCCTCCTCCGCCCCGCCGCTCGCCGCCTCCTCCTTCTCTGTCTCCTCCTCCCGGTTCGCTGCCTCCTCCTCCTGCAGCAGCATTAGCGACCGCCGCGGCGCCGGCCCGCTCTCCCGGAGCTCGGGAGGGTGATAGACCGGGCAGCTGCAGGCTCCGGCGACGAGGCCGAGCTGGGGCCGGGGCGGGGACGGCGGCGGCGGCGGCGCCGGGTGGGGATGGGGTCGCAGACGCTGCAGATCCTCAGGCAGGGGGTGTGGGCCGCACTCAGCGGGGGCTGGTACTACGACCTGCACCAGGCCACCTTCGTGAACGCGCTGCACCTCTACCTGTGGCTCTTTCTGCTCTGCCTGCCCTTCACCCTGTACATGGCCCTTCCTTCTTCCATGATTATAGTAGCAGTTTATTGTCCTGTGGTAGCTGCTGTTTTCATTGTTCTGAAGATGGTCAACTATTGACTACACAGAGCACTGGATGCTGGAGAAATTGTAGATAGGAGTGCAAATGAGCTCACAGATCAGCGAGCCAAAGCTGAACAAGGCAACTGTTCAACCAGGAGAAAAGATAGCAATGGACCTAGTGATCCTGGTGGAGGGATTGAAATGTCTGAATTCATTCGGGAGGCCACACCTCCAGTTGGTTGCAGTTCACGAAATTCTTATGCTGGTCTAGATCCAAGCAACCAGATTGGATCTGGTTCCTCTCGTCTTGGAACAGCAGCAACTATTAAAGGAGACACAGACACTGCTAAGACATCTGATGATATCAGTTTAAGTCTGGGCCAGAGCTCTAGTCTTTGTAAGGAAGGAAGTGAAGAACAAGATTTGGCAACTGATAGGAAGCTCTTCCGTCTGGTCTCCAATGATTCCTTCATCTCCATTCAGCCTTCTTTGTCCTCTTGTGGACAGGACTTGCCAAGGGACTTCAGTGACAAAGTGAGTCTGCCAAGTCATAGCCACCACCACCACATCGATCAGTCTCTGTCCAGCGCCTGTGACACAGAAGTAGCCTCTCTTGTACCTTTACATTCACATTCTCACAGGAAAGATCACCGGCCGCGAGGTGTACCACGGACTTCCAGCTCTGCTGTGGCCTTTCCTGATACTTCACTGAATGACTTCCCTCTTTATCAGCAAAGATGTGGGTTAGATCCAGTAAGTGAGTTAGAATCTTCAAAACCTCATTCTGGATCCAAAGAATCCTTGGTGGAAAATACTTGTCTACCTGGGGAATTCCAGCTTGCTGGTGATCTGAAAAACAGTAATTCTCAGCCACCCACAAAAAGTGGGAAGAGCAAAGCTCTAAATGCAGACAAAAGCATGGACAGCCTGAGGAGCCTGAGCACACGGAGTAGCGGGTCAACAGAGAGCTATTGTAGCGGCACAGACCGTAATACCAACAGTACTGTCAGCAGCTATAAAAGTGAGCAGACTAGTTCCACTCACATAGAAAGCATCTTGTCAGAGCATGAAGAGTCTCCTAAAGTGGGAAAGAAAAGTGCTAAGAAAAAAGAGTGCTGTGCTGACTCAGAGAAGAGTTGCTGTGCCAGTGACAAAAGGACTAACAGTGACAAGACTGCCCTGGAAGTGAGTACAAATAGTGGGGCTCCTGAGGCCCAGGATTCTCAGGCCTCTGATGAGATGCACAACCAGAGAGGGCTCAGCACCTCTGCATCTGAAGAAGCCAATAAAAACCCCCATGCAAATGAGCTTATTGCACCAGAGGACCCAACCCCTGAGAAACCTGCTGAAAATAAAGAAGAGCAGAATGAGACGCCTGTCACTTTGGTGGATTTAAAAGTTTGTAAAGATACTGGTGGAAAGCAGAAGGAAGGGGATGTACGACCCAAATCCTCTAGCTTAATCCACCGGACAGCCTCTGCCCACAAGTCAGGCAGGAGAAGGACAGGAAAGAAACGAGCCCGCAGTTTTGACTCTAGTCGACACAGGGACTATGTTTCTTTTCGAGGTGTTTCTGGAACCAAACCACATAGTGCTATATTTTGTCATGATGAGGATTCTAGTGATCAAAGTGACTTGAGTAGAGCATCAAGTGTCCATTCTGCTCATCAGTTCAGCAGTGACAGCTCTTCTAGCACTACTTCTCATTCGTGCCAATCTCCTGAGGGCAGATATAGCGCTCTAAAGACCAAACACATTCATAAGGAAAGGGGTACAGACTCTGAACACTCACATAGAGCTCATCCTGGTCCTGAAGGAACTGGCAAAAAGAGGGCTACACGACGGACTTCCAGCACAAATAGTGCCAAGACTCGTGCCCGAGTGTTGAGCTTGGACAGTGGCACAGTAGCATGTTTGAATGACTCAAATAGGCTAATGGCACCTGAAAGTATAAAGCCCTTAACCACTTCAAAATCAGATCTTGAGGCCAAAGAGGGAGAGGTGCTGGATGAGCTGTCTTTATTGGGACGGGCTTCCCAGTTAGAAACAGTCACTCGATCTAGGAATAGTTTGCCAAGCCAGGTTGCATTTCCTGAAGGGGACGAGCAAGATGCAGTCAGTGGAGCCTTCAAGATGGTCAGCAAGGCCAGCAGTCCACAGCCCAGGTCAAAGTCCAGTCCCGCCCCCCTTCCCAGGCTGCAGTGCTCAGTGCTAGTGCCTCATTGCTGGTGAGAAATGGGAGTGTCCACTTAGAAGCATCACATGACAATGCATCTGCTGTAGGCGGTAGCAGTTTGCAAGATGAACTTGGTATGCAGGCCTTATGTAATCTTGGTTATACAAAACTTTAATGCAGCAGATAATGGATGATGATTGCACTTCTTTCTTGAGATAGCTTCATTTTGGAACTATGCATAAGAGCACCATGTTTGCCCAGTGTGTAAGGAAAATTTAAGTTTTTTGCTTTTTTGTTGTCTGTTTCTACTTCTTACTCTGTGTTTTATTTTGAGCATGTCCATTATTAGTAGGTAGTTAATGTATTAATAAGTTTATACTTTAGTATTCTCTTGAAAATTATTTTGACAGTTTTTCCCAAGCATTTGTACTATATGAGAATTTTTTTTAATTGTTTAGGCCCGGTGTGGTGGGGTTCACCTATAATTCCAGCAACTTGGGAGGTTGAGGCAGAAGGATCTCAACTTTGAGGCCAATGTAAGCAACTTAGTGAGACCCTGTCTCAAAACAAAAAATAAAAAGGGTTGAGGATGTAGCTCAATGGTAAAGTGCCCCTGGGGTCAATCCCCAGCACACCTCCCCCTACAAAAAATACCCTTTGATTTCTTTGAATATGCTATATATAGGAAAGGCAAAAGTGCTTTCTAATGGTCAGTTACTAAAAAATATCTCTTTGAGGTATTCTACATTTTACAATGTCCAACATTTTTAATAGAATTTATTATAGTTCTAAATACAATACTCTGAGGATATCATGGCTCTATATTAATATCAGATAATAACTGGATAAAGTATATCCCTTTTTCCTGTTTACATATCTATAAATGTACACATAAATTATTAAATAATTAATTCTCAGAGTCGTATAATTGAAAACCTTGCCAATACATTAGCCATTCAAATATCTGCTTTATGCCTTTAAATAAGGGTAAAATTTTATACAGATTTGATTTCTGTTTCTCTATATTGATTTCATTTTTATTTCTCTATATTGAGCTGTAGATTCCAGCTTTGTTGTGCTCAGAATGCAGATTAGTTATTAAGAAACACACACTTGTGATTTTGCTTATTTGTGTTATAGCTGCTTTTCACTTATAAAAATGACATCTAATTGATGCTTTAGTTGGAAGGATATGTGGTGTAAAGTACCAAAATTAGAATTCAATAAAGCTTCTTACGCTATCTGTCAAAAAAAAAAAAAGATGTTGTGTCCGCCGAAAACTAATAAATAAATAAATAAATAAATAAATAAAAAGCAGTAAGGTTTTATGGGTGGGTGGGTGTGTGAAAACTCTAGTTAAGATTTATGACATTCAATATATGTACATCTGAACTCACCAAAAATGGAATAAGTGGGATTGAGTTGGGACAGGTGAGAAGCACAAAAGAAATTAAATATAATTAGCAAATGTTCCCTCTAAGTAATGAGCTACTATTCAGTTCATTTTACATATACTTAAAAAGTTATGTAATAAAATGCTTATATAAAAGAAAATGTTCAAATTGCATATCTAGTAGTTTTGTCTCATTATTACATCCACCTGTTGTCAGACCAACACCAAAGTAGTCAGCATGTGTACATGTGAAGTGTGGGGTGGTTCTTTCCTACACAAGAATTGAAACCCACTGTCTAACAATATCCAGGCTCCATGAATACTAGCTATTAATATAGTCAATAATAGGAATTGGAAAATACTTGTCTCAGGAATAACATTAGATAGAGATCTGAACAATTACCTAAGAAATTTGAGTTCTTAGTATCTCTGCATAATTCCATTCTCCTGCAAACCTGTTTCCCAGGAGAGGTGCAATTTTCTGTTGGAGTTTCTTCATTAGTTTTTATTAATGTATCCATGAACACTTGCCCCCCCCCCCCAAAAAAAAAAAAAAAACTTACCTGAGTACTTAAATCTCATCTAAGCAGTCTGCAACACAATTCCTACTGACCCTGAAATGAGTCCCTGTGAAGTATATTTTTCTACTTCATTCAGTCTGGATCTGATGCAAAGCATTAACCAGTAAGTTATTAGTATGGCAATCATTTCAAACTTCCTGTGCCTTTCTTCACATCACACAAATAAAAGTCTCTGTATAATAGGTTAGCAGAGGATAATTGATTTCCAACTAAAATGCATGTCCAGTCTTGCTATTAATGACCAACATGCATGGCCCTATAAAAAGAAGTCATTAACACCTGCATTCACTTAATCATGACTTTGGTTACCAAAAGACAGTGGCACCCTAACTAGTCATATTCTCTCCACTATAACTCACAAAGAAGTTTGGTCTTGTGTAGGGAATAATATTTCTATTTTGTTCCAGGAAAAAAGACAGTAGCCTGGGTTGGAGCCAGAAAGCAGTGTTTTGATCCTGCATTACTAACCTGACAGTGTGTGCAGGATTGTGGGAATCTCTCTACTTATCCCTGCTCACATTGCTTTGTGGAGCAATAGGCGCATCTCTACAACTTGTAGGGCACCTACGGGAAGTATGGACCTTAATAAACTTTGATCCTTGTGGTTTTAGTAAAATATTCCATGATCAGGGAAATACAAATGCTGGAGGAAAGCAATTGTCAAGGGCCCAGAGCTCTGGAATGATGTGAAATTCAGAAGTGTGTCCCAGTTGAAGGCAGAAGCCTGAAGTAACCCCTTCAAGTTCCTGCCTCCGTTCCTTTTCTCAAGCACATGAAAGTCTCTGCCATGATCTTTTAAAAATTGACTATTTCAGGTGATATTCATAAATATAACAAAGGACTCTATTACTATGACACTATGTCAACTTGCCTTTATTTCTATGGGACATTCCTAAAAGAGATGAAACTGCAGACAGAAACTCCAAGTGTGTTGAATCAAACTGATTTGGGCCAGTTTTAGGAAAGAATGGTGGGTCACTTCTATATTCAAGAGACATGTTTTTGATTCCTCTCCTGTGCCAAGAAAACAAGTCTATGTGAAATCCAAAATGAAAGAGGGATGTAGCCTTCCCAAATACACAGCATATGCATCTATAGGGTCATACATAAAACATCCCCTACAGAAGTAGGAAAATGGTAACTTCAGATCACTTCATGCATTAGCTGAGTGGCGTGAGGATTAAGTTTGTCATTGGTAATAACAATAATGATAATATCTAAGTTTTATTTTGCCTTAACCTCGTAGATGTCACATATTAATCACATACAGAGAAACTATTATCCATTTAATCCTGACTCACTACAGTTTTATCAAATAGAAATAAACTCAGATGAAAATGCTGAGTCTCAGAGACACAAACAACCCTCCCCACCTCTCAGAGACAATGAGTCTGGTGGCAAGATTCAAATTTGAAATGTGAAACTCTGAATCTGATCCAGTAAATATTTTTATCATTTACCGGAAAACAGAATGTTTCCAGCAGATATCTCAATAAGGCTCAGCCACATTTTTAAAGTATTCCAGCATCATGAGTAGACAAGAAATCAAACCTGATCTTATGTTTGCTTTGAGACTGAGAGGGCTATTTTCAACCATAAGGGACCATGTGGTGAGCTCAAGGAGGTTCTGGAGGGGGCCCAAGAGCATGATCTGTGCTGAATGATCATCGGTCTCCCCTACTGTGACTTCTCCTATGACCTGTGACTGTTCTTCCATTGTGCATGCAGCAGGCACTCCCACTCCTCTGCCCTGTGATCCCCAGGAATCCCACAAGGAGGAAGAGCATCATGGGCAAGGCTATCTTTCTGCAGTGACAGGGAAGAGAAATGGCTGTTGGGCTTGCTGATGGGACTGTCTGCTAGGATTCTCCTGTGATGCCCTGTGTCCATGGTCAGACAGCCCAGTACAAACAAGACTGCATTCTTTCCCACCTAACAAAGGAATACAAGTTACATTTTCAAGTCACTTTTTCAATTTTTATGAAATAATAATAAAGTGGACATGCATAACTCAAATCCAATAGTGCTTAAGAAATGAAACAAATAATGTAGAACACATTGCTCATTACCTGCATCTAGGAAGCCCCCTATACCAGTTCATGAGGCTAAGGCTACTCTCATTTCCCTTATCCTGTTCATACCATCATGGTCCTTCATAGAGCTTAGGAAACACTTCAGAAAGACCCCGTGCTGTTTTGAGTGAGATTTTTATAGGAAAAAGAACTAGTGGAGGGACAGCAAATTTTAATCACCTTAAACAGAAATGTAAAATTCACAGTCCCCATAGCTGAAACTTTGCATATTGGTATCCTCTCATTTGGATCCCCAAACAGGGATGTTTGTCCTCGTGATGAGGAACACTGCCTCCAACAGCACTTTGCACATCCACTGGCTCCCTCTGCACTTACTGGGTCACACTGCTTCTCTGCTGGGTCATGACCAAGAAATGCACATCCCAAGACCCACCCATAACAGGTGCCCAATAAAGGCTCCAACTATATCCACAGCATTCATATGAATACAGTGTCAGCAGCTTCTGATAGGGACAACCACAGGCGGAAACAGACCTATGCATTCCACTGGACAGGAACCATCAGTGAAAAGGCTGGAGTCACAGGCTGATGACTTGCTGTTAAAGGACCATGGAAGTGCAATGCACACAGCTCCTAATTAGTCAAATAGGTCCATGTTACCCCATCTCTAAGGACCTCTGAACATTCATGGAGGAAGCAAAGCAAAATAATGTCCACAAACTTCTTGGATCCTGACTCTAATTAGGGGGAAGCTTGTGTGTGCTACTTGTTTCTTTCACTTTTTTAAAAAAGACATATCTTCTTCAAATGTTCATTTTCATTGGGGGAAGATGTAAATAAAAACTATAATATTGTGACCATACCAAATGCAAACTTCACTCACATTAATGACATTCACTTGTTCTGCAGAAATCACCATCAACTGTTTCCAGAAATTTTTGATTTTCCAAAACTGAAACTTTTACCCTTGTCTAAAACTCTCCATTAGTCCCACAATACAGTCCAGACAACTACAATTCCTCTGTGAAACATAAAGAGGAAACAGTCATCCACCCCTTAAATATCTAATAAGGAAGAAAGAACTGGGTTTTTTTGTTTTGTTTTGTTTTTGATCATTTATACTGACCTGTTACAGTCAGTGCTTCACTGTTTGTCTGATCATAAATCATCTCATTTATAGCACCAAGGATGCCCTGGAACCCAATTTTTCATAATATACTATGATATCTACAATGTTAATTACCAAAAACAGCAGGAATGGTGGGGTCAGCAATTGCTAATCAAAATCAATGAGTAGCCATGAACTAGATCTGGCATTAAAGCAAACAGCAGGTGTCAACTATGTCATCTGCAGCAGTAATACTGGCACGTGGATGGATCTAGTCTGTGAAG